ACTTTACGCCTTTTAATTCGATGGGTTTCTCCTTGTAGTCGAGGGGGAAAATCTAAATGTTTACACATGCTGTCACTCACTACAAAGGGCCTTATAGCTCATTAGCCGGTAGCCATAAATAAGTCAGTCTGAGGACAAAGAGAGATGACTATAGAAACTGAAAAGAAAAGGCTTCCCTGTACAAATATTTCTCCCCTGGAGACAAAGGTAGTGAGAGAAAGAGAAGAACCAAATGTCCATTGACACAGCGTAGCATCCAGTACAGTAAACTCAGGAACGTAGGATCCCGTCACAGCAATCAAAGCTTTTGCTTTGCTGATTTCAATCTGCTTGGTTACTCAGAAACACCACTGTTTTCAGTATACATTTAGTTTGTGTCTAGAAAACTAGTTTTATTTTTTTCCCAGTTTGTCCATTTAAGGAAACAATATTTTATTATGATTTTTTTTTTTTTGATCGTTGATCGAAGGTAAAACTTAATCCAAGTTGAACTGTTTTTGCACAATAGGTGCAGATGTCAGACAAGCATTTTAAATTATCTCAGGTTCAGGTGGACATACTGTATCTTTTTCAGACTGGTTGTAGATTTTTTTTTTGTCTTTCACTTCTTTATTTTGTTATAAAAAAACAGATATTTGTTCAATTTTTGTGGTGTAAATGTAAAATGTATTTCTTATTGGCCCCCTACTTTAGCTGTATGTTTCTTATTCAGTCAGGTGAAACTTTAACTCTAATTGCTGCTTTTACAGCTTGAAGTCTATTTACAGCAGAGTCTCCATTTGTGGCGTTGTATTCCTGGAACTAATAGGAAGAGTTAAAGCAAAAACACTAAAAAACACTAAAAGTAGCTTAAAGCATCCCAGGAAAAAAAAAAATAATAATATATATATATATATATATATATAGAATACTGTCTATATTTTTTCATAATCATTAATCATATTAAAGTACTATTCTAAAATTTTGCGAGTGGAGTCTCCACTTTCTGCAAAAGTATAAGCTAACAATTTGTAATCTGCAAAGTGGGAGACAGGAAGGCCCTGCAGGGGATAGTGAGGGGAAATTTTTCCAAGCTGCTGTCGGAACAGGGCAGTGAACATGGTCAGAGACTCTTTACACTTCTCTTTGGACTTGAAAAACTTCTGCCATCAAACTAGCATTAAAAGGAAGAACCAGTGAATTGCAAAACAGCTGTCTGAATGAATTTATTAAAGCTCTAATTTATGTTTAGATGCTATACTGTATCATTTACCGCTTATGATTTATCCTATTTTTTATGTGTGTCAATGTAATCGCATTCCCTCATGTATTAAAAAATCCCAGAGAAAGATCAGGTTTTGTTGTAAAGTAACACAAAAGCTATTAAATTAATTTAAATTACCATAAATTTACCATCTGTATTTTAAAATATTAAATATTTTTTACAGTTACTTTCCTTTACTTCTGCGTTAGGTAGCTCTACAGCTCATGTAGTCTCCTCTCATGGCACACAACTACCAACACACAGCTGTACATCAACACTCTCAACAGTGTAGATATGCACTCAGCAGGATTAAGCATGCAAATGGTGCCAAAACAATGACAGTATGAAGTAACCAATGCTGTTTAAAAATGCAATGAGCCTCTAGTGAACAGATACTGTAGCTCACATATCCGTGCGCCACAGATCCCTGCAGCACAATAGTTTGACTCGCTGTCTCCACTTCCAGAAGCACATCTGGCTGCAAACCCAGTTACTTTTGCATGGAGGTGAAAAGCACGGAAAACACCATAAATTACTCTAAGTTTAAAATTTGTTAACATTTTTTTTTTTTTTTACATATAATCAGATTCAAATAATAGATGAAATTTTCAAAATACATTCACTCACCCAAACACTAACACACATACCCAGAGGCACTTTTTGGGTGGCTAATATCTTCCCAAGGTCAAACCTGACAAGGAATTCCAATGAGATTAAGTGTCATCAGTGCGGCTTTAGCGCTTTTCTGCTCATTGTTCTTGGAAATGGCATTAGGGCCTGATATGACCAAAGACTTTGTGCCAAAAAACCCTCTTCCACGTTCTAAATGTTTGCCCTGGTTCATAGGATGGATGTTTGAAGCAGCTTAAATGTCCAAAATGAATGTCCACACAATGAATGTACAAGAGGTTTCAACTCAAATAGTCTTGTCTAATTGAACTTTTACTTAAGAAACATTGCAGATGCATGAAAGTTGTCATCTTTAGATATAAAATAATCATTCCCTCAGTTGGATGTTTCTATTAGGCTTTTGCTAATGATTTCAGATCTTTTGCTCTCAAACGGAGGCTTTTTATGTATGAATCTGGTTATTTTCACGGTTATCCTGTTTGCAGACACGTCTAGTGAAAAAGCAGCCTCATCACGGTGTCAGCCAGCGTTTATTGCTCTGTAACTCTTACTAAATTTGACACATAGTCCTTTAGTGGCTAGAATGAGCGTTTTGTCATCTCATCTAAAGTGCCAACTCGATGTCCAATTACACCCCGCTGACTAATTTAATTACAGTAGAGGCAGAAATGGCTTGATTCAATTCATTTCACTTATAACAGATCGGGCCGGTCGGATCAAATTTGACTCATCTCAGGTACAGCCTGCCTGTCACTTTTTATCTCAGGGCGCCGCAGCTGAAGCGAGATAAGCAGGCCCTGATATGGTAAATAATATAATTTCTGGTTAAGCTCTCAGAGAGAACCCAATTGCCCCCGCTGGTTGCTGACTTTGAGTCCAGGGGGGAGTAAAACATTCCACTTTCAGTGCAGACTCTTAGCAATTCGCCATTTAGTAGAGTCCCAGCTACAATAGTCATTACTAATTCATGATGTCCACAATTATGTATCAGATTCTGTGCGTCTTACATATTTAACTAAGAGATGTGTGGCAAAGTGCAAAGCTACAAATCGTCTGGGGGAAAATGGCACACACAGTGTTCTTCAAACAGGCAGCTTTTATGCACTCATTACATTTTTAACCAAAAATGTTAGTTAATACTAACGGACAGACATTTAATCGTTTTAAACAAATGTTACGTCAAAGAATGCCACCCATTTTGTTGGATTAATGAAAAGGCTTTACAAGGCACCTTCATTTTTCACAGAACAACATTTAAGTCATGGTAAATGGTTAAAATTATGCATTTCAATAGTGAAAAATCATGTTACTTTTATTTACTTAAGTTAAAATATGCTAGTGAGGTTAGCTTTACCCTTTTATTCATTATGTTCCACAGTCATCTTTCATTTTGACCAAAGTATAGTGACAGTATTTCATGTAGCTGAGCTTTTATCATATGGCAAAAATTATGTAAGTTCCTCAAGTTTAGTCTAAATAATACTTGGTTAATCAATATGGTTAGGAGCTAATCTTTTCTGTGCTCACTTTAGTAACTTTACTGGGAAATATTATCGATAAACCATCTCAACTACACTGTATATGAACCTTTTACAGCAATGCAAAGTTTGTTGCAGATTAAAAAATAAATTAAAAAAAATCTCTCATCCACATGACTCCCTTAAAAAAATCACACTGTCCTTTAGAAATCTCTGGAATAATTATTAATATTAAAGGAAAAATCTTCTTGCTGAATAAGAAAAGCAAACTGCAGAGGAGGGAGCGCCGTTTATACATTTTTAACCTTTAAAAGTAAATCAGTTTAGAGATAATTATTTACCACACCAGTTTGTTATTAATGTGTTATACATTAAACATAAATTAAATCCTATAAACTCTGCTACTTTTTAGTAAAAGTTTTATAAAGTATGAGATTGGTATCTTTTGTTTTTTCTTACATTGAATCATTTTCAATTCAAAATAGATTGAAAATAAATAATGTTAACTTTAAACCTAGCTAAATAAAAAAAAAAAAAGTTTTCTTTTATTTCTAATCACCTCTCTTCTACCATTACGATTAGAATAAGTGATGCATCATTTGGCTGAAAGCTTTACCCAATGTGGAGTTAAACCAAAGACCCAACCCTGTAACACTAAATCAACACACCTAGAATCAATTTATAATTGATCCCAACTTTGTTCTTTTTAGCCTGGTTTTTAACTTGTCCAACTACATTTCAATCACATTAAAACAGTTCCCTGCTAAAGTTTACAATTGAAACACAATCCACAAACACTTTGCTAAAAAACTGTACCTTTCTTTTAAGGTAAAATCCAACAATATGCTCCAAAATTTGACTTTTAAAACTTAAACATTGCACTTAAATCTAACCCGCCTAAACAAATTCAAACACATGTATTAAATTACTGTGATTTTCACAGAACATCTGGGCTTTTCATCCATCCAGTTGTGTACAGTAATTGTAAAGTGCAGTATCTTTATCTCATTTTCAAATATTTAATATTTAGTCCCTAAAAGTCCTCAAAGTGTTTTATTATAGCAGAGGTGACTAAATAACTAGACTACTGAAATACAACTTATCTATTAAAATATGCTTTTATAAAAATTATATTAACCAAATAATGTTAATGAAAAGAAACAATGAATAAAAATGAAATTCCAAGTAATAAGACCTTCTACCAAGTCCTAGATGAAACATGACTCTAAAGGGTCGCACACAACATGAGACTAACAAGGGAAAAAGATTTGTCTGGAAAAATGTTAATATTAATAAGTAAAACGTTCCCGGCTGTCTGATTGGTGCAGCTGATGCTGCGGGGTGTGCGCCATAGGCTGCCTCAGTAATATGTTGGTGTGTGCGCGCGCGCGCGTTTGTGTGTCTGTAATCGCTCCGGTTGCGGCGCCGCAAAGAGCTCTGATTGGTCGTTCACGCAGTCCTCAATTTTTTTTTCTATGCTGCGCAACTACAGCGGTCATATCAAATGTTACTCCATTCCCAAGAACGCGCTTCTAATACCATGTCCCATGATGGATCGCTCCTGGTGTTAAATAAAAGAAAATAAATCCCCTCTTACTGATCAAAGCGGCAAAGAAAAAATAAAGTTAGGAATGTAAATATGAATTTACCCTGCTGTAGTGGAGCTCCGTCCCCGGCCTCCCTGCGCTCTCTGTCCGCAGTAGAAGACAGCATCAGCCTCCCAGAGCAGAGCAGAGCAGAGAGGAGCTGTTACGCACCCCAGCCACAGCACTTTACGATGCAGAGAGGGCCAAGCCGCGCAGGCTTTTTTCTTACCTTGCCGCACAGATCCAGAGGGGGTGAAGTGGTTTACAACGGATGTTTGGGAGATTACGCGTTCCTCTTCTCTCCCACCCTCCTTGCCTCCCCCCACCCCCCTCACCCCCTGCTCCTCCAGCAGCAGCGGTGACTCTCTCTCGTTGAAGAATGAGTGGCCTCGATGGGGCAGCCACAGAGTGAGCCGCATCCGGTACCAACAGCATCATTAACAAGGTCTTAGTTTTGCTTTTTCCCTGTGCTGTTAGTGCTTAAAATGTGCAAACCTAATTTTTATTCATCATTAGCGACACTAGACATTCCTTTCATACCAGACTACAGGGTTACAAAACTGCTTCAACCTAATTAATAGCCTATGCAGCAATGTGATTTAGGTAGATCAAAGTCCTATTAGAGAATAAACTGCCACTTGAAGGGAAAGAAGGACGAAAAAAAACAAGAGGCATAAATAAGAGGTATTGCAACAAACATTTCTGAAGTGCTTAAAATATAAGATGAAACTTTATCTAAATGGTTCTTCGTATTTTTCTCATTTTGCTGACCTATGTGTCAAAAGGTTGCTGAAATAATGAGAAATAGGGACATAAAAATACATCCAGCTCACAAATTGATCCATTCGAATGAGATTAAATCCCTCTGATAATTTGAAAATCTTGTTTTTGTTTTGCTTTCACCAGTAGAAGAGATGTTCAACAGTCTTAAATAAGTCCAGTTTACCTTTGACAGGTTTTAGTATAGCTTAATACATACTTCAATGACTGTAATGTAGCCCCAGTGCCAAAAAGGTTGACAAAGCCTATTTTAATTTTAATAAACAGAAGTTTTAAAAGAATGGCCCTTTAGTGTATAATTATATCTAGTGTTCAGGTTCGATCACGATAAGTAAGCTACTTTAGAATTTGAGTTTAAGATTTTCGATGCAATCTAGGTTCTTTAAACAGTGTGAAACAGCCCTTCACTCTACCGCTGATACAGGGGGCTATAAAGTATTTGCAAAATTTTTGTCAGTTTAGCATAATAGTCAGGTGTAGCAATTTTTTTTTTCCATAGTGCTTAAACGTCTTTTATTTTTTTGTTTCTTTATACTTTTGTCTTTCTACCACGTTAATTCTACCTGATAAACATTTCAAATAAGAAAGGCCTTTTTAGTGTGTTGTTAGCTAGTGTTGTTTGCAAGCCCCACTGTCAATAAAACAAGCCAATTGAAGAACTGCTTCCTCTTACACTTCAAAATAAAAGTATCAGGAACAAAAATAAGGTAGTTTGATGCACACCCATTCATTTGTGGGGTTTAATATATATAGTTATGGTACAAAAATTCACCTTAAGAGACAGATTCCAATTGGACTTGGAGTTTTAATGAGCTGTCACTTCCTGTTTTAAGATTTATTTGCAGATGCTGCCTTGGGTTTATGAACCCTTAATTGTGAATTTGACATTGCATATATACTGTCACAAGTTAGCTGCATGCAAACTCAAAATATTGCCCCAATACACAAACTTTTGAAACTAGAATTTACTTTTACCTATAACGCAATTCATACCAACATGCCATTACCATTCTCTGCACTACACTCGTCAGATATCATCTTTTAAAGTTGGGTAGAATGTTTCCCAAAAAAAATAAATAAATTTAGAAAATGCATCTTCTGGAATTTTATTTCTCTAAAGTTTATATGCCTACAAATCATTTTTCTAGTGCATGAGAATTTCCTACTTTTTCCCAATACTTTCCCTGCAGATATCTATTCACCAGCCCCTCCTACTTCTATGTTTCTGTAGTCTATCCCAGATTAAAATGGCACCTGGACTTAAATGGCACCTTGGTTTCCCCTTCCCTTTCATCATCAGCTAAATAAAGATTAAGCCTATACGAAGAAGATTGTAAGGGCTCTCCCTCTCAGAGGTACGGGGATCTTCATTCTGCTGCCTTTGTGATGATATTGATGATGATGATGGCCAAGTGGACAGTTTGATTTTTGTGTGGTGAGCTAGTTATAAAGAATCAATATTATATCAAGGGGGGGAACTTTGGTGATAAAGGAGTCCGGCCACTGTGGCTATTCATCATAAGTCTGTAGCAAGCAGATAGGTCAAAAGAAATTATATTGCTCTAAAGAGTGTGTCTCCTTATCTCCCAGTACCAGAGGGAGTGGAAGACATGCCGATCGATACAGTATAGCTGCCGTGGACTCCTTGCAATTATCAATAGCTGATTTTGTCTTCCCGGGGCTGCATCTATTAATACTAGATAATAACACCCTCACGGACGTATGCTTTCTGAGGGGACGATGGGGGAAAAAGTAGGACTAAAGTTTGGTCTGCAGGCCGACTTTGCTGTCAACAGATTTGTCTCATATGAGGTGCACACAGGGGAATATACGTCAAGCAGGCAAGAGGAAAGGAGGAGAGAAAGGGAGCTAAAAAAGGTGAAGCTGTTGTGTAATGCTCATATGAGCCTAAAAAAAAGGATTTTGCCTTTATTTTACAAATGCATTATCATCTAAAAGTGATCTTTTTTTTATTATGCTAAACAAGCATTTAACTTTTCAAATAGATTTCCACAGCCAAAAAAAAGTCACATTTTAATGCATTTTTCCATGTCAGGATAAAGGAAGGACTACATCACCTAAAATAGGCCTATAGGCATTCAGGAAGTCTTGTTTAAACTTTATTGTGGAATTTCTAGTTTTTTGGGGGATAAAAGACACGAACAAGATCAAGAGACCTATTTGTGTTGACAATAATAAGAAGAATGTGGCTTCATTTGATCTCTTCAGTGTTCATTTTATGTAGGAGACTACTTTAAATCTTTCTTTTTCTGAGCGGCTGACTTGAAATAGCTTCAAAAACCACCATTTTGTTGTTTTTTTCCTCAAATGTTGCTAATCTCATAGTTTTTTGTTGTTGTTTTTTTTTTAGGGTAAATCTGAGACATAGACCTGAACCCTAAAATATACCTAATGTTATCTATGGGGAAAATGTGAGATGCTATGAAAAGTCAGTATTGATTAAATCAATTTCTCAACCACAATTAAACACCAGTTGACATTTTTTAAAATCTTTTATTCCAAAGTTTCACATTCTTTAGATAGAGAGCACAGATTTGTTCTCAGTAGAAAATTTCCTCAGGTTTACTTCCATTATTTAATTGGGGTAAATTTAACATGCTACAAAAGAACCCTCCATTGATGTCAGATGTTTCAGATCTGTTGAGGAACCATTCAGTTTTTAGGCAGAGGCGTCTGTTACAAGATCAGAAGAAACCACTTGTATTAATAATTTTTTTGTTTATGCAGAAGACGTTTTCCTTTGATTTTTGCTTTAAAATATTAAAAATAAAATGCAAAATATCCGTAAATTATGTTTTAATAAGCAGTAAAACTGTCGCAATACTTCTTGTGCCAAATCGTATATGTTTTTTTCCTCCCTTTTTCTTCATCCTTCGGATCATCTGATTTATTTAAAGCAACATACAAGAAAATTAAATGAGAAAATGTGATGCTGCTACTTAGGATGTATTTTTTTATGTATTACTTTGCGCAAATAAAAAAAACGGAGCGAAGGCCTCATAGGGCCATTCATGACATTTTTTTTTTTAATATAAATATATATTTTTTTAATATGATACATATATTAATTATTTTAACCCTCAAACAATATCCTATGTATTTCCCGTGACTTTATACAGGGTTCATGACACGAAAGTGAAAAAGTCGAACTTTCCATGAAAATCCAGAATAGTAGGACGCTCTATCAATTCATTTGTCCCGCTGTGTGATATGATGGGAGGTCGACTCTGGGTGGTTCACACTGGAGGACTGGGGACGAGCCACTGAACAGCAACGTGGTGGTACATCCTAGTGGTGGCTGAGAGCAATGGGCTGAACCCTTGCTTGGGGGTTGACTCACACACTTGCACACACAGAGAGCGCGCAGTCCCCTCCACACACAGAGAGCCATGCTCAGCAACGAGAGGGAGCGACACTGAGACTGGGCAGCCAGAAGATAACTCCGAAGTTCTCTTCGCTCTCCGAAGGAAAAAAGACGCGGCGACCGAAGTTTTTTTTTTCTCTCCTTCACGGAACCAAGCTCAAGAGCCTGCGGTGCGTTTATGGCCACTTTCCCAGAGCGCACTGACAGCGAGGGCGCAACCGGGAGCTGAAACGCGGCTGCAGGAGGAGCGGAGGAGACTCCAGAGCGACTGAAGAGACTCTTCCCTTGCGGACAATTAAGTTTAGGCTCCCACCAGTTTTGTTGCTGAGCCAAAAAAAAAAAACGCGTGCGTCAAAGTTTTTGGAGAGCCGATCTGCGCTGTAACAGAAGAAGAAAAACGGCGATGGTTCAACAGAAACTTCCAAACCTAAACATCTCCAATTAGCGCAAAGATGCGCTTCAACAGAAAACTTTAAAGAGAGAGACTACACGTCAAATCGCTTCCTTTTGGGGGTTAGGAGGAGGTGCGTGTTCAGCCTCAGTGGGTAAAAGATAGAGAAAGTGCGAGAAGTTTGCCAAGATCGGAAGACAGACTGTTTCAGAAGAGACTTTTAGAAGTTTTCGGTTCCATCAAGGCTGCGCGATGCGCATCAGAATCACCGGAGAGGCACTTTGGTTAGTTTGAGCCCTGCGCACCTCTTTGGGAAGCTCGCTGTGAACGGGGCAGAACGGGAGAAATTTTGGTGTGTTGTGTTGTTGGGGGGCAGGAAAAGAAGAAGAAGAAAAAAAAACCTCTTAATTGTTCAGTCCGTCCCTCATTACCATATCCAATGCGCGTCCGCTGGACCCCAGCCAATCCTCCCCACCTTCACACGGTGCCATTAATCGCGAGGCATTATTCACTATCATAATTATTATCCCGACATGCGCAATCCCACGCACAGTGACAGAGGCGACAGGAGCGGCAACACTGGCTAATTTTCCCAGATTGCAAACCAACTTCACACACTTTCCAAGCGCAGCAGTCTGTCTGTGAACTTTTTTTTTTTTTTTTTGAA